AGACGATCCTAACTGTTTAAAGGTTTGATCGTTCAATTTGTGGACCTCTCGTTCATGGAACGAATCGAGAGGGGATTTTGGCTTTGGTCCTAACTGTTTAAAGGTTTGACCAAGATGGGAATTTGAGACGATCCTAACTGTTTAAAGGTTTGATCGTTCAATTTGTGGACCTCTCGTTCATGGAACGAATCGAGAGGGGATTTTGGCTTTGGTCCTAACTGTTTAAAGGTTTGACCAAGATGGGAATTTGAGACGATCCTAACTGTTTAAAGGTTTGATCGTTCAATTTGTGGACCTCTCGTTCATGGAACGAATCGAGAGGGGATTTTGGCTTTGGTCCTAACTGTTTAAAGGTTTGACCAAGATGGGAATTTGAGACGATCCTAACTGTTTAAAGGTTTGATCGTTCAATTTGTGGACCTCTCGTTCATGGAACGAATCGAGAGGGGATTTTGGCTTTGGTCCTAACTGTTTAAAGGTTTGACCAAGATGGGAATTTGAGACGATCCTAACTGTTTAAAGGTTTGATCGTTCAATTTGTGGACCTCTCGTTCATGGAACGAATCGAGAGGGGATTTTGGCTTTGGTCCTAACTGTTTAAAGGTTTGACCAAGATGGGAATTTGAGACGATCCTAACTGTTTAAAGGTTTGATCGTTCAATTTGTGGACCTCTCGTTCATGGAACGAATCGAGAGGGGATTTTGGCTTTGGTCCTAACTGTTTAAAGGTTTGACCAAGATGGGAATTTGAGACGATCCTAACTGTTTAAAGGTTTGATCGTTCAATTTGTGGACCTCTCGTTCATGGAACGAATCGAGAGGGGATTTTGGCTTTAGGCGAGCTCTTCCCCTCAAACGGTGTGAAGTTAACCAGATTGAATTTGGCTGGGTATGGTATTGAATCCCATTCTCTTGGATAGGGACACGGAATACCTGTCTTTTTCCCTTCTTGAGCCGTCATCAAAGCGTTGATTTTGTTTTCAAGCTCTTTCATTTTCTCGTCCTCGTAAGCTCTTTCATTTTCCCGTCATCGTCTATGTCTTCATTCGAATGACGTTGAGGAGAATGAGTTAGACCACCCCCTGTGAGAGGTGCTATTGAACCACCCCTAATATCGTTATTGGGAGGGTCCGTTAAACCACCCCCAGCGTTATTGCTATTAGGAGGTGTATCAGCCATAATGACTTCATCCACTTCTGGATCACTGTCATTTGTAACATTCTGAATGTGGCGGCTGGATTCAACTCTTTGACTGGACTCAGGGGGTTGAGGCCGTTGAGCTAGCAATTCTCTCATTTGTTGGATAGCTAACTCCATTTCTGTCTTCACTTCAGCTCTAATTTCTTCACGTTGTTTGGCTAGAGCTTCCTGAAGTATTTGAGTGAACTGATCAGCAGTGATTGTGAATACTTCTCTGATTTGTCCTGTGCTAGACATTGTATCATCAGAAGCGATTGCAGAATAAGTGTCCGAGAATTCATCCTCCGAGGACATTCCTTCTTGCATTCTCTTGTAGTCTCTGCGTCTGATGGCTCCTAATTGGAGTCGAGACATCCTTTGAGCAATTCTTGGATTGACTTTTCCTTTCGGAGAAAATTCGGGATTTGAGTCACTTGAATGCCGTTTAGACTTTCTTTTATCAGCCACATTGATGGTGACTTCAGGGAATTCATCATCTTGGGCA